GAATAGGTGCTCAGTAAACAGTTGAATTTTACAAACTTTCAAAAGGGCTAAATTTCCTTGAAGCTGTTTCATGCCTAATATTCTAAATCTATCAGAATTAGACAACAGAGGCTCTCTCATGGTTATTTTACCATCCACTTTGTAATTTTTAGAAACAACCTATTTGAAGGGCATGTGAAGCAAATAAAAGATTAACTTGGGGAGTGGAGGAGCAAGCGCTTACTTTTTTATATGGATTCTGTGTAAACAGTAGACTTTCGTTCCCTTTGTACTCTACCCACAGCACTTGATTAGCTGCTGAACTTACAACTTCATTAGTAAAATTTTATTTTGCAAAATACAAGAGTAGCAATTTTCCAGGTAACTGCTCTATTTATCTACTTTTTAAACATTTCAGGATGATCCATATTTGATCCAGGTTACCAGTTACAAAATACCACACACCAAATTTACCCTGTCACATAAGAATTGCTGCAAATAGATCTGTCCTTATTAAACTGGTAAGAACAGATACTACACTTGATCTTAGCCAAAAGGCCGAGAAGCTAGATCTGTCCTTGTTATAATTACAGTAACTAGAATTTCAAATTTTTACTGCCCGATTCCTTGATTCACTGTGAGAGAACCACTACTAACAGAAAGACATTATAACATAAAACTTTAACCAGTTTTAAGATGCTAAAGGTTTGTCTGGACGTTTATTTTAGTAACTGTATTCTACTGACATTTTCTCCACTAGTCCAAGCGGCCAGGTTTGTACAAAGCCTCCTCTCAAGCAAGTACTGCGGGCTATTTGCATCTTACTCCAGGAGAGGACCAAAGAGGAAATATACAAAGGGAATGTTTAGTGTACCCAGAGGGGTACACCTTGAAGATAGTTACCTGTGTCAGCTGAGCCCCAAGTCTGAAATGTGGCTGGAGGCACTGGCACCCAGCTCTCGGCAACTGGCCCAGCAAGTTCGCAGGGGATCCGTGGAGGAAGCGAGTGCTGTGCGTGCCCACCTTCATTGCGACATACCAGGTATCCTTCTGGGTCCTGTGAGACTTTGGGTGAACCTGTGAGGCTGAATTTCCTACCAGCTTTGTGGGACAATGACTGTCAGTCGGTTTGATGGAAATAAATCATTTCAGACAGACCACTTTTTGTGTGGTTTCATACCTAGAAAAATTTCTATTTTCATTGTTTAAAATACCTGAATTCCTTTCACATTCTTGACCTCAATTGATTTTTACCATCCGGTGAGAAAGGGGGTAGTCAAAGTTTAACATCCTAGGGTCTCAGCAGCCGAAACTCGAGGACTGACTGTATTAGCTACACCAGAGTGTGAAGCTAGCAGAGGTGAGAGGGCTATAACCAGTCAAGTATGTAGGGAAACAAACTAAGTTAAATGGGTACATTTCAATTTTTAGCTTGTTTATGTATAACTTTTTGGTGACTATTATAAAATATACAAGTAGCATTTTCAGAAAAGCACTACAGTAACTTCACTAGATTTTCTTCAATTTTTGTGCAGATATACAATCTCAGGCTATGGCTTTATTACACAGTGTTCTATTTTGAATAAGTTGTTTTTAAGATGCTCAAATGTAAGCAGAAAGTAGTGTATCACAGCATTTTGTAACTCCTGGGCAGGTTTAAAAAAAAAAACCAACCACTCTTTGCAGGTGCAGAAACTGAGCCCCAAACATATATGGTCATATGCCGTCAAGACCACGGTGGGGCAACTTCCAAACGCATCTCCTCGCTCCAAATGCAGCGACACTGAATCAACCCAAGAGCTCAGCTGTGGCGAAACGGAGAACCGTCCAGGAGGGCAGCGGCAGTGTCCAGGTCTCACGTTGATAGGCCAAGCGGTCTCTCACCAAATGGCAGCTGTCCACAGACACTGACCACGCAGGACTTCTAACAGCACACTAAGGTCAGCAGTCACACACACAAAAGCATTGTTTTGTTTTTTTTTATTGAAATGACAATAAAATAAAATTTTAAAAGAACAGTGACCATTTTAAAGTATTACTTTACAAATATAAAAATATAACCAAAATTTCAAACAGTTGTCTTTTATACATTTTCTATGAACTTACTGTCAGGGCAATTTTCAAACTATCTATGATCAGACTATGATGTGAACACAGTAACCAAAGGTTAAATGTACGCCAATCTGTCCCTCAGCAGACAGCATAACCAGTACTTTCCCAATTTATCTCTAGCCTCGTAATAAAATTCAACACTAAGGTACAAGTTACACTCAAACAAGCTTAATCTAGACTAATTTAGATTTTAGTCAGCTTTTTTCCCCCACAAACACAAGCTTGATAAATATAATACAAGCTAATACTAATTGTATGACTCAAGTTGAATTATCGTGTATTTCTCATACATTTAAAGAAAGGCAAACTGCTTGAAACGAGTCCAGTTGAACCCACATGATAAATGATGTAAAACAAATGCAACAGTCTGGAGGGCCACGCCTCAGTCCTCCCTGGCCATCTCAGAGCCGTGCGCTCCACGACACTCTCGGAGAGCGGACAGTCCACTGCCAGCGTGGACTAGTAAATACTAAATCTGGGGAACTCTTCATGGAAAATGACCCAGCATTTCCTCTCAAGTGACTGGGCAGGTACTTAATAAAAATAAAGCCATTAAAAACTTGAGTCACATCATTTAAGAAAAGGAATTTTGAGCTGATTGCTTGCTGACCTGTTGAATCTGGAAACCTTCTAATTAAGCATGAAAAGACATAGACTAGTTAATTTTGTTCTTTTATCTAAATAAACTACTACTTAATAGAAGCCTTAAAAGTCCAAAATAACTGACTCCAGTAATACTAATTATAAGACAAGGATACAAAGTACAGACCCTGACAGGTTTATCATACACCATGGTAAGTATTATCTGCCCTTTTATAAGACAATTTTTTCACTCAGGGAAAAAACAAAATTCGTTTTTTTCCCAAAGGGTTGGCAGTTTAAATGTGATTTAAAACATTTAACAGTGAAACTTTGTAATGATCCCCCCAGCCTCCTGAGTATCTCCCAGCGCCACTTGGTAGCTTTCAGCAGAACGTGCACGACTTGGATGGCTCGGGGCCCCACTTGAAAACGAAGCTGGGACATACAAGCACTGGGATCTAAGTTAGCCAGGATCTCATTTTAAAACTCTAGTATGTTCAGTTGTAGAGTGCGCAATTTACTGTTTATATCAAAGACCTGACTGTGTAGTTAGAATCCCTGTACCCTTGGACTGTAGCAGATCTGAACCTGCCTAGTTCTATTTCCCACAAAAACTTAAAAGTATTAGGGTGTTACTATGACTGACTGGTTCAAAATCAGTGATTTGTGCTATGAATTTATATTCAAAACCCAATCTCTTACATTCCAGGGTTGGTAACCCAGCCAGCTTGAATGAAAAGCTTCCCTCACCTGGGTGAGATGAGTGACTCATGCACTCACTGAGTAGTACTGATCAAGACTTTCTAGGTCAAAGCTTAAGTTACAAAGGGCATGAGTGGTGTTGAATCAGATGAGTATTCAACTCACAGTATTTACTGACTTGACTTTGTATTTATAAATCATACCAAGAAGACGACTACTTCTCTCCACCCTCCCCAGATGGCAAGAGCTAACACATCTGAACTGTGGTCACCACAGCTTTTCATGGACAGTGGGCTGGAGTAATCATTTCCCTCTGCTGCCTCAGTCCTGGTGGACCCAGTCAATGAGCTCACCAGTAAAATTACAGTACGTGAGAAGCATACTACCGTAAACTAAAGAGGCAGGTTTCTGCCCTTGAGAGAAGAGGATCGGACACAGAACCAGTGGTGTTTCCCCCCCCCCCCAAAGAAATCACTGGCCATTTTTGGTCCTGGAGAGTGATGCTCAATTGTTTACCAACAGTCACTATCTGCTATGCAAAAATGTGAAGGCCTGAAGGGACCGCAACTAAACAAACAACATGACTACCTCTGGGCCTAACGGCCAGTTGCTCTTAGTCCCGTTTTCTCGACTCGAAGTAGGAACGAATATATGATAAAGCTTTCATATCACCCAATATTCAGAAAACCCTCGTGATCAGCACTGTAAAAATATAAGAATTTACCCAAATTCATTACTCTATCTATTAAAAACTTAACTATACCAACCGCTTCTTTTAAGTAGCTGTGTTTTATAGAATATCCCATACGTTACGCCTAGTCATCGAGTTTGTAATAAAACACAGACAATACATTTTGGTCATTAAGCAGTAACACCGCCAATAAACTCCTCTGCCCTATCTTACTGTTTATTCAACAAAATTTGATCCAAGTTGAGCAGAGTTTTTTGTAAAAGTTCTTTAAAATTTGCTAATTCCTGAGACTGACAGGAATTCCCTATGCAGTCCTTACATTGGAGTTTATTCAGATTATTACAAAAGATTTTGCAAAGGCTTTATGTCACTTGCTAAACTTAAATTCAACCCAACGAATAGAACTTCAAGTTAATTGAAATAAAAACCTTTGTAATCGAAGAGTAACAAGTGAACACTTTTTAGAAACCTCCTTCATGAATCATGATTTCATCACGACAGCACAAATAAGACTCCTGTTATGTGAAGAAAACGAAGTGAGCTCCAGATGAGTCTCTTTTTATACCAATTCCCATAATTTTGCCAACCTAGCTAATTTTAGCAATTTCTCTGATGTTTAAGGTCTGTCACTTGTCAAGTGAAGTCTAGATATATCAATATAAAATGTATCTGTCAATAAAATCCTGGGAGCTCTGCTGCAACACTACTTACTAGAACGCATTTTACCGGGCTGTGACACAGGCCCGGGAGTGGACCTGGGACTCAAGCCAACCTGGCTTCCAAAAGTAACAGAAGAGCCTCATCGCCTTACACTGCTTTGGCGGCCGCCCCAGCACCAAAAGAGCTAGAGTCCCATAATCTCCACTGGCCTCAAGCTGCCCTTGTCTCTTAACATTGACCCACCTAGGAGGAGAAAAGAAACAACCCTCACCTGTAAGAATTTTAAAAGTTTAATGTGAAAGTAAAAAAAAAAGTCCATTTTCTTTAATGTACAAAAAGTATGAGAACCAAAAGTAAACTAAACATCACATTTGTTACACCACTATCTAGTGTTCGTATTAACTTCACTATTCAAACAACAGAAAGTAGGTGGCAATTTAGGGTTGGGGAAAGAGAAACCAAAATTTTTTTCTGCCATTTTATTCTACGCCATGTGTATAGCTGTGCTCACAGAGACGGCTTCTTCTACTTCTCCACTGCGCAGAAATTCAGTTGTATATAAAATTGAACCTACATTTTAAAAAGAACAGCAGCTTTATGAAAAACAGTATTATTGACATAGATCCTACCTTAGATAAATGTATTTTTAATTTTCTGCTCTCCCTCAACACTTTGGGCATTTTCTATACCAAGAAACACTGCTCTCACCTGTCACCTTCAACATTAAATAAATGTGTGTTGAATAAACTTAATTTTAAAAAGTGTTAAAGAGTGTAACTTTTATTCATTATCCCTTACATGTTCCCTGGTGAAAGGAAAAGTTTTTATTCCTCACAGTACTCTGACCACTCGCAAGCTCCTGACAACAGAGGGGTGATGTTACATGACCTTTTCTTCCTATTTCACACTTGTAACCCTTCAGGGTACCAAAGAAAAGGAGCCACAGGTTAAGACCGATTATTGTGAAAAAGTAGAAAAAATAATCTCATACTCAGTAAGTGTTGCTGTTAAGAGCAAACCCCTACTGGACTGTCTGAAGCTAGCACTCATGACGCGCACGCCTGCCCAGTGCCTGGTGTGTTCCAAGCACTCCCCTGCTTTATTTCACTCAGTCCTCACAGGGAGTGGGGTTACCACCTCCCTTGATGGGTGAAGAAATAGGCCTACTGGTATCATCATTTGTGTGATGTCACAGTGCCAGGAAGCGCTGTGGAGTTAAATCCAAACATTAACTACAGAATAATTTCTTGACTGTCAAGTCCTTCTTCAACCCCTATTGTAGTCGGCTCTTAGCAACTCTAAAATAAGACACACACACACATAGACATTTCTCAGCACTCTGTGTGTCAAAAAGAACCTCCATGTGAACATTCAAGACCCAGGCCCACAATACCCACTGTGGAGCCCAAACAGGCCAGGCCAGGCTCCAAAAGGGACAGACTCTATTACACCGAGAGAGCCAATTCCCACATGGTGACGTAGCCAGCCCTTCCACATACACTGCTGACTACTATTTTACCACCCCTTTTTTGAATAAATACTTGAAAGTCATCAGTAGAGAACATCAGATGTGGGGGACAGCACTTAATAACAAACGCCAGAATGTCATACTGCCATTCAGGGTCTGTGGACTCTTGCCGTCATATTTAACTGAGCAAAATTCATGAGCTATCCCTTCTCAAGTGACTCAGAGGCGTTTCGATTAGACCGACAAAATGTGCATACCTGCTCAAAAGCTGGGGGAGACTGGAAATGATGGGTCCATACCCTGGTGCATTGTCGTACAGTTCAAACAGGGGTGCAGCGACCAGCTTGTAATTTTTAGGGACTGCAAACAAGGCTAAAATACAACAAAACAGTATTGATTTTCTGCAATTTCTGATACAATCACCGCTAGCATTTCAATTTAAAAGTAATCAATTTACATCTGAGAAATTTTTGAGGGGAAAAAAGAGAATCTTCAGTACATTTTGGTTTAAGCAAAGTTCTTAGTCACAACTTTGAAACTAATGAAGTCAGTTATTATGCTATTAACAACCAAGAAACACAGTGTTATGTGCTGGCCCTGCGACAACAGGAAGGGAAGAACCCTGAGCTTATAATTTTGGGGGGATATTAGACAACTAAAAGAAATAGTGACTTACTAAAATGCACAAAAGGTGTTAAGATGCATTTGAAAAACATCAATCCACCTGTTTCCTGTAATTGTCACTAGTTTATCATGACATGAAAATCATTACCAGGAGCTAAACAGTTATTAAAAACAATAGTCTACGGTATTTTGGATGCTAGTTAAACCTACATTCTCTCCCCACCCTCCCCAACAGCGTAACTAAACCATCTATGAGAAAAACAAGGCCATTCTATATATACATGACTTGTTGGTTGGATTTTACAATGAAGTAAAAAATTCAAGGATCTTGGAGAAAACACAAATAGAGGGTTCCATGAAAATACCAACATTTTCAGATGGCTGCCTTCAGAAATAACTTACCTTTCTCTTGAAGCTGAACCAAAAACAACTTCTTATGCTCCTTGGGTTTTGTGATATGCGCAGGAATGTATGGGTACTAAACAACAAACGAGAGCAACCTGCTGTTACCAAGACGTCCCTCTACCTCCATGCCTCCCACTTAAGGCATCAAGCTCAAATATAACCCTTCTGAGACCAAGCTCCTATCTCTCACAAAATTTTAACACATATCCAACTGTTTCTTTCTTTACATGCTTCTTCTCCAATGGAGTGTAAACTGCTAGAGTGAATAGAATCCTTTCTAGTATTTCCTTTAACAGGACCCAGTACCTACAGATGTACTAATAAATAAATGCCTTAATAAATTTAACAAGTAAGTAAACCATCCACCCACAAGAAAATTAAGTGTCCTCACAGGATGTACAACCTGAGAAATTTATAAAACAATGAAGTGTGATAGTAATAAAATGTTTTAGTAAAATGATTTTTTTGAAGTTAAATTTTCTAGAAACTGGTGTAGACATGTTTATTATATAAAGAGTTTAAATATAGTGGGAAAGATACTTTACAGACACTCCTGCCCTTCAACAACACCCCTACACATCACCCAATGCTGCAAGAACCCCAGATACGTGGTCTAAGTGGAGCTTGTCAGCCAGTCAGCATCAAACGACTTGGGAAAATGGAGAAACTATTTGGGAGACAATTCTTAGGCAGTGAGTGCCGCACCAGCTTCCCAGCACTCTAACTTCCTATCCCTCAGCCATACGAGTGAGTGAGAAGGAAAACACACACACAGCAACCTTTGAGATCGCGAAGAGACAGTCACGGCAGATCATCAAGACAAGAGCTTATCCTCATTCAAACAAATTATGGAAGCAAAAGTTTTAAACTACCTGGAATGACTACATACTTAGTGATCTTCGGGGAATTATTTTTAGTACGATAGTGGTTGTAGTGGTCCATATCTTTTAAAAGGTCCTATCTTTAAGAGAAGTACAATGAAATGTTACAACTAAAATTATATGTAGGATTTGCTTCAAAATAACCCAATGCGAAGGTACAAGGATTGGGTCGTGGGGGCAAAGAGTTGATGCAGTTTGACTGTGGAAAATTAACTCTTGAAAGTGAAATGACAACTAACAGGATTCACTTAGACGTTTCTCTACTCTTGTATGTGAAAGAAAAAAAAAGTTTGGATTTTAAAGTTTTTATTTAAATTAAAGAGAGGAAAGAGGAAATTTCAATCCAAATTTTAAAAGGCTGGAATTAAATCAGTTTTCTCTATAACAAACTGCCCAGAAAATAAAGCAAACACTTACCTGAGGTGGTTCAAAATTTGGCCTCCACCAGTTACCAATGCAGTCATCAATAACCCAGTCTTGCAGGACTCCATCTTGGCGACCTAGTATCTGTAAAGTGTGTGTGTGGAGAGAAAGAGAAAGAGAAAGAGAGAGAGAGTGAGAGAGAGAGTGTGTGTGTGTGTGTAGAGAAGTGTGTGTGTGTAGAGAGAGTGTGTGTGTGTGTGTGTAGAGAGAGAGAGTGTGTGTGTAGAGAGAGAGTGTGTGTATGTAGAGAAAGTGTGTGTGTGTGTAGAGAGAGAGAGAGTGTGTGTGTAGAGTGTGTGTGTGTGTGTGTGTGTGTGTGTGTGTAGAGAGAGAGAGAGAGAGAGTGTGTGTGTGGAGAGAGAGTGTGTGTGGAGAGAAAGAGAGTGTGTGTGCATGTGTCGAGAGAGAGACAGACAATAAGCCACCAAATACATATCCCCATTAATACCCTTCTTCAGGGAAGTCTGGGCAGCACCCCTAACTGTGCCCTCTACACAGATTTCCTCTCTATATTTCCTGTTTATTATCTATGTTAACTTTGTACAAAATAAACTAATACTAGTTTAAAAACCGGCGCCCTCCCTACTGGCATAACAGGTTAGGACGCAGCACTGCAAGCTGGCTGCAGCAGCTACACTGCGAGTTTGATCCCCAGCCCCGGAGCTGCCCACAGGGCGCGGCAGACCTCTCCTGACCCACCTACTGCTCCCCTCAGCAGTGTTCTTCGTTGATCTGCCTGTTCTGCTCCCCACTGTTTCTTCTCACCCACCCCCTGCACCTCTGGCCTGTACCCCAGTTCTGTATGCATAAGTAAATCTTAAAAAAAAAAAAGGCAATCTTACATCAACGTAACTACAGACACACCACCCCAGTTACCTGTTTAAAAAGCATTTTCATTTTTCAATAAACTGTTAATATTTTAGTTTTACTTTAATAGCTTTACAGCAAAGTTGCAAAGAGTACAGAGACCGCCTCTAACATCTAAGCACATTGGTCACATTAATGAACCAACACTAAAGCCTTAAAGTCATGCTCTGTTCAGATCCCTTTACTTTTTACCTAACGTCCTTTCTCGTCCTAGGACCTCACCCAGTACCACACTACATCTAGTTATTTCACCCAGGTGCCTCACAGAGACAGTCTGTCACTCTCTTTTTGACTTTGGCAATTTTGAGGAGTCCTGACCAGTCTGCAGAAGTCCCTCAACTAGAACAGGGTTTTGGATTGCAGGGCGGAAGATCAGAGGTAAAGTGCCAATCTCATCACACACGGCAAGAGCACGCTCCATCAACATTACTTTTCTCTGATATTAACTTTGATCACCTGGCCCTGGTAATGTCTATCAGGTTTTTCCACGGTAAAGTTACATTATTTAACACAATCTTTATGACCGTTTCTTGATTACTTTTCATGTTTAAGAATCTATAAAAAGAACAAAAAATGCCCTCTACTGTATATGAGAATTAGGTCTTAAAACTCTCCCTCTTCATCTTTCTCTTCTACCATGCTCCCAGTATCAGTATTTGATGAAGTCAAGAGTATTTCTAATTAACATGACTAGGTAAGAACATTTAGTAAACTGTAATTAAACTTAAAACTAAGCAAGAGTGTGTGGTACATTTCCTTACTTGTATAGCTAACCCGTTTCTTCAGGATTAACAGCTGTTTCATTGGCTGTAATGAATCTATCTCTACACCCTCCAAAAAGGCTTGAAATTCTTTTCAATCCAAACACCAACTCACTTTCCTAAGAAACATTTTTTCATCAACCTGCAGCTACTCTCAGCTCTCCTGCACAGGCAGCGCTCTAGGCCTCCTGGTGCATCTCTGCTGTGTCATCAGGCTCTGTCTATTCTAAATCCTGTACCTTCTTTATTTATTTTCATGTAGGTGAACACCCTCCAGCAGCTTCCTGAGAAAAGGTACGAAGAGTTCACAGTTTTGGAAACTATCTAGAAATAGCATTATTTTACCTGACTTACAGTCTAGCTAGAAAATTCTACTATAGAATAAAGTCAAGTTCTCTCAGAACTATGAAGGAACGTTCCATGATCTTTTGGCTTCCTGCCATTTCTGATTTTGATGCTTTGTAGTAAGTTTTCCTATACTCTCTCCCCAACTTTGGAAACTTTTAGAATCTCCTTTTTACTGACTTAAAATTTCATGATGATATGCCTTTGCAAGGCTCTTTTGCCTACAAAAGATAGATAGGTCAATCTGAAACTTATATCAACTGAGGAAAGCTTTTTGAATTACTGCCTTGCTAATTCTTTCCTTTTCCTCTGTTCTATTTCTCTATAGATGATATTGATCCTTCTGGTGGGTCCACTGATTTTATCTTTTCTTGTCTATAATCTATACTTTTATTCCATTGTGTGATTTCTTCAATTATGTCTTCTAACCCTCGAATGAACTGTTCATTCTTCTAACACTTTCATTAAAGATATTCATGAGATTTTACTGATTTAATATTAATAGTCTTTTTTAATGGCACACCATTGCACAGATACATTCTCTCCTTTTATCATACCAAGAATACTGATCATAATTTGGCTGATTGCTTAATTTTCTCTTTCTGTGGAGTTTCTCTAACTCCTTTGCATCTCTTTGCTAAGAAGCTTTCTCCAAAAGTCTGGTGATACTGAGTTATCTGCTCACAATTAAGAGCAAAGCAATTAAGAGCAAAGAGGTGAACTGTCACTCTGTATGACTGTGACAGGGCTACACTATTTCTTGGGGAAGAGTCTAAAATACCATCATCTGGACGAATTTTTGGTTTTGGTGGATTTTTCTGGATTGTCTGCTTCCTCCAGAAATAAAACCTCTACCTTCAGTCTGCGTAAGCCTCGTTGTCAGCATTCTATCAGTCTAATAGAAGTCTAGAAATCTCACTATTCAAGATGTAAATTTTCACTCATTCTTCCCATACCCTCAGATTTTACTGCTTAGTGTTTTCTGATTTAATTTCTACAAAGAAATTAAACATTGTACCAATTGAAAATAAACATATCCTTTCCACAAGACACAAAAAAAATCTAATTACTCATTAAGTCAATGGTATTCAGGTAGGTAAGAATGAAACTGTCAGAATGGTTAAACAGACAAATACCTCTGTCATTAAGCGTTTTAATCCTTCAACTTCATCTTCTCCTGGGTTAAGTTCACCACCAGGTCTGTATAAAGGTTAAGAATTTCAGCTTTCAATTTTAGGGTAATAGCAAGAACACAATAATAGTTATTTCTGTCAAGTAACTTAATAAACTATTTCAGAGTCGTATGATCAGGCAATCAAAACAAAAAAAAATGTCAAAAGGAGCAGAAAGAGTATGCTAGAGAGTTGAATTTATAATGTTAACTCACCAGAGTTGTAGAAACCCTAGTTTTAAATACAAAATAAAATATAAACAAAAAATAATGGCTGATCACCAGCCATTCCCATCTCTTCTCTCGCCACTAGGCAGTGATAGTGGAGCTTAATTCAGAGAGGAAACAGATCCATCTCTAGGTCTGAAGAATGAGTTACTTTTCAAGAAGTCCAATCTCAGCATTTGAGACCTCTCTTTTTGGCACAATCTGGACAAGTAGTTGGGAACTAAATGTACACTGAGAGATTTAAGTTTAAGTGATAAAGCTAGACAGTTACCTACAAAAAGTAAAAAGTATTCATTTCAGGAAAAAATGTTCCTAACACTGTTACAATGGTATCTGAAAATTTAACTTAAACTAATGTGTTTCACAGCTTTTGTCCTGTGTAGCATCAACATACAGATTTCTAGCTAGACAATAAATGAGCACTGAACAAGAGAAAAATAGTTTATTTTCTCTTTCCAAAGATTCAATTAATAGTTTATTGAAATAAATGACTAAAAGCTAAAACTGTGTTTCAAAGTTGCAAAAAACAGTAATCCTATCAAAGTGACAATTATCAAATGTCATTGATAATTTCCAATGACACTTACAATTTGAAGAAGGTTGTTCCCAGCTGCAGCAGTAACACATGGGGTAGCCGGTGCTCATGGACAATCAGAACCCCTTCTACTGTCCTCCTCATTCCAATTTTATCAAATTCCTCCCTCATGCGCTGAAATCTGGCTGCGACAGAACTATCCTTCTCATAGAGGGGTTCCTTTGTACCAAAAGTGTAATTGGTAAGAGGGTACCTGGAATCCAAAGACAAACATCTCACATGAGAACCAAAGATCATAACTCATCATGACAAATGCCGTACAGATTAGAATCCAGCTCTTTGGACTCTAAAGCCAAGCTGCCAGTGGCTGGGTCAAGCAGTTGCTATGTACTTGATCCTCAAGCACAAACACTATTTTCTCTAAGGTCCTTAAATGCTTAGAGAAGCAGCGATCTGGGTGTCTGCTGATCCTCTGCTCTTAGATCGGGCTGCTGTCCTCGCTAACAACGCTACCCTGGCTAATATCCTCATGGGGTCTCCCCACCTCCTTACTAGCCTAATTGTAAATTCTGTCAATAGCAGGAACTGAAGGATAATCCTTTTTCTACAAGCTGAGGCCCCACTTCCCATCATCTCATCAGTTATTTTCTATTTCTCCCAGTCAACTACCCTCAGATTTTCCTGATATGCCACCCTTTCCTCTTCAGATGAACTTCCATTTTCCCTCTAAACCTTCTGCACTAAATATATGCAGTTATCTTTAGTCTTTCCTTCTCATTTAAATCTTCTGCCACCATATCTAACCTGAATAGTCTCCTGTATCAAGAATTTGAAATATTATTACTGAAGTTTTCATCTTGTTTAGCAAAGCTCAAATTTTCCCTGCAAGATAGCTGTTAAAAATCACACCTTATCGGCCCTCCATGGTGGTGCAAGGGGTTAAAGCACATAACCAGGAGGTTGGCTGCAGCCCCTTCAGTGCAAGTTGGATCCCCACCCCAGAGCTGACCCACATGGCACAGCAGACCTCTCATGTCTTGCCCACTGCTCCACTCAGCAGTGAATTTCAGTCCATCTGCCTGTTCTGCTCCCCACTCTGTCTCTGGTGAACCTTCTCATTGTTCCTGGACCGCTGGCCAGTACCCCAGGACTGCATGCATAAATAAAACAATCTTTAAAAAAAAAAATCCCACATTATAACCTCTTGATCATAGCCTTACAGTAAGAAGTCTTTAATTATAAGCCTTTCAAATAAGAATGCTTTGGTCAGGCTTGCCTATCCCCAAGGAATTTATTCTATCAAAATACCTCAACATTAATAGTCAACAACTATATAATCAATCCATCCAGGTATTCTTGAAAAGGAAACAAATCAAGATTATCAAAACTTTATAATTAATTCTAGAAGTCAAATTCTAGGCATAAATTAAGCAGCTCTAAACTAAAATACATCAATTCCAGCACACTTTCAAGACTTAAAAATGTATTTAATTTTGCGTAGAACAACGGGGGTATAGGTCAGAGATACAGGGAGTAAGAGGGTTTCCCAGAGACAGAGTGGGGAACAGAACAGGTGGATCTACTGAAATACACTGCTGAGGGGAGCAGCCGGGAGACAAGAGGGGTCTGCTGTGCCCTGGCAAAGGACCCAACTTAGGCCACAGAGGTGATATCAGGATATGCTGAGACTTGATACAAGTTGATCCAGTAATCAAGGCAAACCAAGGGAAACCTGTAAGCCCCAGTTCTAATGACCACTAGAGGCTATTTAGAAACTGGCCCTTCATTTCACAGCAATATTCACCTAAGGTTTGTTTAAAGTGATGTGCTATTAAAGTGCTACCATGTCAGTGTAACACCAGAGATATTAACTTGTGTATACAAGCATCAACTCATTTGAAACTTCATAAGCCTAACATCTTTATGACCTAAGTTTCCCTGGCAGCATGTTTTAGGAAACAAAACATGATGTATCCTATTTCAAATAGTGTGCAAGGAGAAGTTCATTGACTTGAATATAAAAGAGAACACTTAAAGTAGCCCACAGAAACTATCATTAGTAACCCCTACTCCTTTTAAACAATGACGGGCATAAACTGCCCACTTTCTCTGAATCAGAGCCCACATCGCCATGCTTCGCTATTCTCAGAAAAAAATTTCTTGAGCGCTGAACAGCCCAAAATATCAATTATCTGCCCTAGCAAATTTACTTCTCCACGTGTGCAATGGCTTGAAATGCTTAGGCAGAAAGGTGTGGCAAATAAAACGCTCTCCGGTGGCTGCTCGGGAACTGCAATCTGGTTCTCCCCACGACTTGAGAGCCCCTCAAACCAGCTTCCGCATGCCCATGCTGCATTCTACAGGATGCCTGGATGCTGTGGCCATGGCACAGAAAAGACACGCGAGCCATAGGGCATTCCAGATGGCCCTGGGCAGATAAACAAAATGTGGTGCGTTGACGATCTGAAACACAGCATAAAAGTGAGCCATAAAAAACGAGACCCATGGGCCCTCCTTGGTGGTGCAATAGGTTAACGCACAGCACCAATGAAGGTCCCCGCAGCAGCCAGTGCCAGTTGGGTTCCAGGCCAGGGAGTGACCCACATGACCTGGCAGACCTCTCCTGCTCCCCACTGCTCCCCTCCGCAGTGTACTTGGTTGATCTGCCTGTTCTGCTCCCTACTCTGTTTCTGGTGAATCCTCTCACCGCCCCTGTGCCTCTGGCCTGTAGCCCAGTTCTGTATGCATAAATAAATAAATCTTAAAAAAAAAAAAAGTAATCAACGTGTTGGAGCCAGACCTAGACATTAGCACCGAAGTGAAAAAGGGGGGAGTGGGGATCTGCACCCAAACAAGAGCAACATCCTTTGTCCTTGACGGGTATCATTCACGTCGCCTAAGACAGTAACTAGCACAGCCGTGATGTGACAGCACGAAACCTGGGCGAGATCAACGTTCAGCTCCGTCTGGAGAGGCTGGGAGAGGATGCGTGTGAAGCAAAGTGGACTTCTTCCTACACCGGCAGAGCCCAAGGGCACCAGAACGAGCCTGCTTTCTGGAAAGAGAACCTCGAGCAGGACGCTACCCCGAGGAAAGGGCCCGTGGGCGGGAGACAGACAGGCGCGCGCGCGCGTGCGCGCGGGGTCGGCGGGGGCGCTGGGGAGGCGTGGAACGCGCCGGGGGGGCGCCAGGGCCGAGCGGTCGTCTTGAGGGGCGCCCACGAGGGAGGGTGCCCTGCAGGGCGGCGCGCGTAGGCCAGGCCGCACTTACAGGTTGATGGTGCGCTCCAGGGTGAGGGGCTTGGTCTGCTGGATGTACTTGTTTCCGAACTGGTTGACCCCCCGGGGCCAGCCGGTCTGCGAACGATTGGGCGGCACCACGGACATGCTGGCGAGCTCGGACACACGCAGCAGGCGGAGACGCGGAAGCAGGGAGACTTTCCCTGTGCCGGTAGCGGTTATCTGCGTCCCACTCAGCGGCCACCACCCGCCATTAACATGAGAGCGCAAGAGGAGGCGTACGCTCGCCGGAAGTGCACCCGGAGCCTCTGGCGGCAGGAAGTAGAGAGGCGGTGACCTGGCTGGGCGAACGTGCTCAGACCAATCGCAGAAAGGGTAGCCTCAACATCTGGAGCTTCTATTGGTAGACTCCGTGTGGTTCCGCCTCCTCTCGCTCTGGTGCTTTCTATTGGGTGGCGCTAGGGCGCCCCGGAAGGGGGGTGTTCTGGGAGTTGTAGTCTGGGAGAGTGCGGTGGCCGCTCGGTGAGAGCGGCGTGGAGGTGTAGCTTCTGAAGCCATGAGTGGGAAACGGCCTGCTGAGCCCGGCCCGGCCCGGGTGGGGAAAAAGGAAAAGAAGGAGTTGATGGCGGAGTTTTCGGACGCTGTCACGGAGGAAACCCTGAAAAAGCAAGTGGCTGAGGCTTGGAGCCACAGGACGCCGTTCCGTCACGGTAACCGGGCGCTGTGCACGGGGAGCGCCGCGCTCTTCCGGGGGCCTGGAAGGTCCCGAAGGAGCCGCGACTGCGGGCCCTAGGGGAAGAGGCTCCTGGAGAGGGTGACTTCGGCCGCCTCCACCTCCCCGCCCGGCCTGCTGCCCCCAGTCATTGCAAGCTGAGGTTGGATTTAGAAACCTGAGAAGAGGAAGAGGTGTAGGCCAGAGAGTTTCGGGAAGTAGCGGGCAGGCAGCTTCACCGCAGAACTGGCATCAGGTTACTGAGCTGGAAGCCTAGCCGCGGGCTGGGCGGTCCTTGCTGGGCCGTATTCGCTTATTTATTTTTAAATCGCAGATAACTCGAGTGTAAAGTGAGCAAACTACTAGTATTTACCTCCAAAAGATGTTGGAAGAGTTTAATAAGTTAATGCCGTGAGAGTCAATACTTGTCATCCAGAGTACAGACCAGTAAACATTTGGACACTGATTCCAGTGGCTGGTGTGATTTGTCCGCTGCGAGTAATCCCCACTTGCCCCAAGGTTGTGTAACCACAGCCTGTGTTGTGAGCTGCCAGATGACGCACCCGAGCCTACTCACTTTTATTAAAAGGTTTATTTATTTGTGTATACAAGAACTGGGGTACAGGCCAGAGGTGGGGGTTGGGGGGGGACGACGGTGAGAGGATGTACCAGAGACAGAGTGGGGAGCAGAACAGGCAGATGGACTGAAATCCACTGCTGAGGGGAGCAGCAGGGAGACAGGAGAGGTCTGCTGAGCTCTGTGGGTCAGCCCTGGCTGGGTATGGAGATGGAACTCACTGCTGGTAGCTTCACAGAGCTGAGCTTTAACCCCTTGCACCACCAGGGATGCCCCCTACTTATTTTTATGTGTCTCTAGTTTGGCTGTGAGAGCTATCAAAATAGACATGTGTTGACCAAGGAAAGGAACCTATATTGTATGTTTCCAGCCTCAGTTTCAAATGCCACCTTCTAGGCCCAGAGCCCTGCTTAATGCAGCAAGCTTGCCAACCTCCAGGTTGCCATGCTTCCTGTTTCAGTTTCTAGGTGCTTTTATTTTTTTAAAGGTTTTTTTATTTATGCATACAGAACTGGGTTACAGATCAGAGGTGCAGGGGTGGTAAGAGGATTCACCAGAGACAGAGTGGGGAGCAAAACAGGCAGATCAAGGAAGTACACTGCTGAGGGGAGCAGAGGGCGGGTCAGGAGAGGTCCGCTGTGCCATGTGGGTCACCATGTGGCCAGGGATCAAACTGGCACTGAAATGGCTGCAGCCAGCTTGCAGTGCTCCATCCTAAAACCAGGCAGGGCCTCTAGGAGCTTTTCCTCTACCAGTAACTTAGGGAAAGAAGTTGCAGGGTTGAAGGAATAAATGCCAGCCAGTGTTGCTATTCTCATTTTTAATTTTCTACTCTCCTTTTAAGTTTGGGGAAGGGAATGAACTAAGAATCTAAAATACTTCCATTTCAATAAGTAATCACTCTGAGGTTAAAAATAAGTAAAGGCCCTCCCTGGTGGCCCAGTGGGTGAGGACACAGCACTGCAAGCTGGCCACAGCAAGCTGGCCACTCCTATGGGAGTGACCCACAGGGCGTGGCAGACCTCTCCTGTCTCCCCACTGCTCCCCTCAGCATTGTGCTTCATTGATCTTCCTGTTCTGCTCCCTGTTCTGTCTCTGGTGAATCTTCTCACCCCCTGCACCTCTGGCCTGTACCCCAGTTCTGTATGCATATATAAATAAGTCTTCAAAAAAATAATAAATAAATAAAAGACCGGGCACTTTAGTAAGGACTAGTAGTTTAAAAACAATTTCCTTAAGTAGTCAATTAAAGGCTAACTGGAAAAATAGGAAGAGTTTATTGTTCTCCCAGTCTTAGACTCTGGGTACTAGATTCCTGAAAACTCATGATAATCCTCTTACGTATTCTGCTTTACTACTTGAGGGGTTCAAAATACAAAAGGAAAAAAATCATGGGTGATGTTTTTCTTCAAACAGAAGCCATTGTCATGGAAATGGACCCCTTTCTTCACTGTGTGATCCCAAATTTCATCCAAAGCCAAAACTTCTTGGAAGGACTTCAGAAGGAACTTTTGAACTTGGACTTCCATGAAAAATATAACGATTTATATAAGTTCCAGCAGGTATGTATGCTTTTCCCACTAGTTCTTCCACTTCAGAAGTTCATTATGTATACACTCAGTTAATACTCGGAGAGTTCTCACTTTTATCATGCATTCATTCATTTGACATAAGTTGAGTTTTCACTGTGTGTTAGATGCTCTAACTCCCATGCAGGAGTCTTGACAGGTGGGAGTTCATGCTTTGTAAGATCTTAAAATCGTAGAGGGTCAGTGATAGTGACATAGTCAAAGAATATAACAAGCTGTTACTGAGTACATACATGAAAGTAGATGAAGGAAATCTCTTTTTTTCTCTTTTCATGATCAAGTCTGACGATTTGAAGAAGAGAAGAGAGCCTCACATCTGTGCTTTAAGGTAATAAAGTAGTGGTATTTAGTGGGTGCTTAATATTCGGCAGGCAGGGTGGTAAGGGCTCAGTCACATGATCTGAGTTGGCATTATGATTCCATTTCATAGAGGAGGAAACAAATTCTGAGAAATGAAGTAATTTGTCAAGGCTGCTGAGGTAAAATTGAGGGAGCTAAGATACAAGCCCAAGTCTGGCTAATACTAAAACTCAAGTTCTCTGTGGTAAAAGGTTCAACAGTGTTAGTAATCAAGGAAGCAAATTAATGCCTTAGATACAGTTTTTTTCATCATAAGTTGACATATCAAAAGCCAAAACCTCTGTGTTGACAGAAGTGTAGATTCCTTTATACATTGCTATAATCTTTCTTTAGAAGATGTGTGAAAACTCTTAAAATTATGCATCTTTTTATATTGGAATTCCATGTATAAAAATTTATCCCAAGGATATGATGAAGAATGTATTCAAAGACGCCTCACTAGATTATTTGTCATGATGCTGTTAATAATAGTGAAAAATTAGTGCAAATTAAAAGACCATTGATGAGGATTTATGTCAATAATGGTATAAAACAAAGTGAAAAAATACACAGTCGTTAAATATGATGTGTTTGAACTTTAATGTATGCGTATAGTAGTCTCTGGCACAACAATTCCAACATTTACCTTTTTACAAGTGATTATTGGACTAGGGATACCTTTTACAGTCACAAGCATATTCGATTCAGGGAAATATGCTTGTCAAAAGAAAAGAAGTTAAAGTAGATATGTGAAATGGAGTTATTAAGCTTTACTCCCAAAATTGTTTATATATATATATATAATATAATTACATATAATATTATACATGCATGATATATATGTATTATATAATGTGTCATATATGCCTATATTGTGTACCTATATTGTATGGACATAATATAGAGTATAGTGTAGGTATAATATAACATAGGGAGGTCATATATAATATGATATGTTTACCTATAATTATAGGTAAATGATTGACAAGTCAGTAAAAATCAAGAAAAAAAATAAGGTAGGAGATAGTGTACCCCCCATTTTTAAAAAGAGACATGTTTGCATATCTGTGTATACAAAAAAAAAGTAGTTAGAGCAAAAAGTAGTTGGAATGTTTGAATCTGGCTAGTAGGAGTACAGACTGTTTCATAGTTTCTTTTTACTGATATAGTTCTTTTTCCTAGTATCACTGAAGTAAGCACATCTTAGTTGGGAGTAACTGTATTTCAGCTATCCAGACATTTCCCTTTTTTTCTCTGACATTTCCATAATATGGTGGTAGTCTGCGCAGGTCATTTCTTCTAAATCCTGGAGTATCACTCATGTGTTAACTATAATTTCTAATATATCATATTTATTTAGATCTTTCCCCCCCAAAGAGAGTGATCATGCTTTAAGTATTACCCTAATACCTTAGTACTAAGGTATTAAGTTCACAGTATCCCTCAGGTAAACATTCTGTACCCAAAAGGCAGAGCCAGCGGGTGTGCGGTGGAATTCCTTGGTCTTTACAGAAAAATGATTGTTTTTATTTCCCAATTGGGATCTGCAGTTTCTCTCAGGAATCTAATTAGCAAATGAGAACAACAGCAGGAAACAAGCTTGTCCCTGTGAGTCTTCCATAGGTGGCCAGCAGAAGTTTTTTATTATTTTTTTTTATTATTTATTCATACAGAACTGGGGTACAGGCCAGAGATGCGGAGGGTGAGAGGATTCACCAGGGACAGAGTGGGGAACAGAGCAGAGAGATGGACGAAGTTCACCGCTGAGGGGAGCAGCAGGCGGGTCAGGAGAGGTCTGCCGCGCCATGTGGTCACCTCCGGGGCAGGCAGGGATTGAACTCATGCGAAAGTGGCTTAAGCTTCTCAGTGCAGTGCTTTAACCCGCTGCACCACCAGGGAGGGCCCAGCAGAAGTTTTTTTATGGAATAAGTTTATGGAAGGTGGTATTACCAATAAAAGCAGGATTTAGGGTTTTCCATGAACCCGGTTGCTTAAAGCATCAAGTCTTAGCAAAAATGTACACCACCCACATCTGAAGTCTCGTTCAGCAGGTTACTGTGCTTACCCATTCTATGGAATTTGACACTCTTTCTTTAAGAGTTATGTGGCACTTTATTGAACCGAGCATAGTGTTTTATGGAATCTTTTTCATTTGCGTAGAGTACAGTATAAAAAGGTAATAAAATTTCAGTGTGTTAGATTGGAGACTTGATATGAAGTTATAAACGGCACAGTTGTATTTTATGAGGATTTCAGTTATGTAATGTCTCAGAAATATTAAGTCTCTTTATGTGAAAAACTTGAAATAACACAAATCCTGTACAATGTTTTGAATTCGGTTAACATTACCTCGTAGTTGAAGTTTTGTTGGAGGTTTCGCCACAAGAGCCATTTTAGGTGCTAGGTAAAAGAAGCTCACCCAATTTGACTGGGTGAAGATTACTGATTATTGCACAGTTAGCATGATAGTCACCATTATTCTAATGTAAAGTGTTTAATTTCCAAGAGTTTCACTCAAGTTTCCTGGAACAGTGCATTGTCACAATGATTAGTCTGGAAAAACATGTCTAAAAATCTGTAATTTTTGAATGAAACATCAGTGTGATAACTTGCTGTGGCGGAGCCTAATTGCCGCTCTCACAGGGCATACTTCATACATTAGGAAGAAAGTGAATCAAAAGAGTAGCTAAAAGTACATAACAGTAGATATATTTACATGTCTTTGGGAACATTACTTCAGAACTTTAAAGTGATGAGCGGTGTCAGAAGTAATCTCCTGAATGGAATGCAGTCTCCAGTCATGCACCATGCTACAGCAAGTTATATTATACTTACATTTCCAGGAAAATTCTATTTGAAAATTTCCGGACCTGGCTTTCCGACATTTCCAAGATTGACCTGGAATCGACCATTGACATGTCCTGTGCTAAATATGAATTCTCAGGTAAGAAAAATAGCCCTGATAGCTAAAAGATTTAAAGACTTAAACAGTGATGGAAAGGTAATGTCACTTAACTAAAATCCTAGCTCATATGTCCCTGTATAGGTTAGGATCTTCTTAATAGAAAAGATCCAGCTTATATATAGGTAGAAATGCCCATCCTATTGGAAGATTTAAGTCATTGGTTGACTCTGGGATTAAAGTAAAAGCTATTTACCATTTTTTTCAGAAAAATGCTGAGAATGTACATATACTAATCTCCGATATATAGCTAGAAATTCAAAGGGATGGATTATAAACACTACCCTGATTTTCCCTGAAAGTATAAAATACATAGAAGAAAACATGGTAATACACTCCATGACATCAGTGATTGGGGGCTGAACTCCAGCAGCCAGGGAAGTGAGGCAAAAAGAAATGATTGGAACTACTTCACATTTAAAAAAAAGCCTGCTAGGGCCTCCCTGTGGTGCAGGGGTTAAATCTCACACATTCGGGCTGTTGCCAGCCACTGTGGCCTCTGTGGCTGCATTCAATACCGGGCCAGGGAGTGACCCGCATGGCGCGGCAGACCTCTCCTGTCTCCCACTCCTTCCCATAGCAGGGTAGTTCAGTGGATCTGCCTGTTCTGCTCCGCACTTTGTCTCTGGTGAATCCTCTTACGCCCTGCACCTCTGGCCTACACCTCAGTTCATGTGTGCATAAATAAAGTCTTTTTTAAAAAAAACAACATGAATAGTATCTATTCTTTAAAAAAAAATAGCCTACTGGATGGGAGGAGATATTATACATTCAGGAAGGAGTACAGAGCCAATGTAGATGAAGAACTTACCCAAACTGACAATTAAAAACCCAGTGTAAGGGCCCTCCCTGGTGACGCAGTGGATTAAAGCACAGCACTATGAAGCTGTCACAGCCACTGCAGCAACAGTTCAATCCCCAGCCAGGGAGCTGACCCACAGGGCCCAGCAGATCTCTCCTGTCTTGCCTGTTCTGCTCCCCACTCTGTCTCTGGTGAACCCTTTCACCCCCCACACCTCTGGCCTGTACCCCCAGTACCCCCGCTCTTGTATGCATAAATAAATAAATCATCAAAAAAAATTTAACTTTCTATGTTAAAAAATGACTTAAGGATATTTCTAAAAATAAATGAATAAAAAAAGACTTTCTATATTGACTATGTTTTATCTCTATAAAACTTAATGATAAGAGAGGAAGGAACCTGGCGTTTTAAGCTGGAAGAGCTCCATCACAGATGGACAGGCCACTCCCGGCCGCCCCTCCTGGCGGGACGCTGAGGTGTGCGTTGCATCGTTGCAGATGCCCTCCTGTGCCATGACGACGAGCTGGAGGGGCGCCGAGTCGCCTTCATTCTGTACCTGGTTCCTCCCTGGGACAGGAGCTTGGGGGGCACGCTGGACCTGTACAGTGTTGATGGTAAGAGGGCAGCCGCTCTGGGCTCTTACACTTCTCAGAGGTGACGGAGGTCAGCGACGACCTCAGGAGGAGAATCACCGCCCCTGACCACCACCTCACTTAAGCTGACCTTGAAATAATCATGACCCCAGAGATGAATTAGAGCCAGTTGAAGACAAGCTCAGACCAGGCCCCGGGGCCTGAGGTGTGAAGCTGCCTGAGTCTGGGGCTCTGCCTGGACCAGGCTGCTCGGCAGGAAGTCAGGGTGTTTTCTTTAAAGACTGACATCAGAGCTTGACTCCAGAAAACCTTCCAGCTTATTCTAGCCTTCATCAGTGGTGGAGGACAGTAAGAAGAGTTGTCACCTCGCAAAACTAGCACATGGAAGGGGTGGCCTTTGGCGGTCTGAAGGGTGCATCTAGACACCCTTAGAAATTTGAGAACTGTGAAGGTGGAAGGCTGCTGAGAGGGGGTGCATGGTCAGGAAACCCCACTGACAGCTGTGCTCTCTCCTGCTGCAGAACACCTTCAGCCAAAGCAGGTCGTCAAGTCTCTCGTCCCTGCGTGGAACACACTGGTTTTCTTTGAAGTGTCTCCAGTATCCTTTCACCAGGTAGAGATCGTAAACCACACATCTCCGGCCGCCTACGGCCCGAGCTTTTTAGTTACCTGTTACCTAAATGTGACAGCTTCTAGTTGAATGAACCTGGCCAGGTTGTTCACACTCCTTGAGTGAAGGATCGCAAATTAGCGAGCTCCGGCTGGTAGTCGCCCTGCTTGTTGATGCACTGCTGATGTCGCCCATTCAGGTGTCTGAAGTCCTGTCTGAGGAAAAGGCCCGTTTGTCCATTAGCGGCTGGCTTCATGGCCCTTCGCTGACCCGACCCCCCAACTACTGTGAACCCCTCCTGCCTCGGAGCCCACACATCCCACAAGATGTAAGGATAGATTCCGGGGGCTCAGATTCCCACGCATGTTGTTGTTTGTTGTGGGATTTAAAAGTAACTTTTCCTGATAATGCAACTAGACTTTGCGCTTGTTCTTCCACTTTTTATTTTTTATTTATTTTTTTAAAGATTTATTTATGCAGACAGAACTGGGGTACAGGTCAGAGGCGCAGGGGCAAGAGAGGATTCACCAGAGACAGAGCGGGGAGCAGAACAGACAGACTGACACAGCACACTGCTGAGGGGAGCAGCGGGCGGGAAGGAGGGGTCTGCTGGGCCTTGTGGTCACCTCTGGGGCGGGGATCAAACTCGCACCGAAGCAGCTGTGGCCAGCTTGCAGTGCTGCGCTTTAACCACCTGTGCCACCACCAAGGAGGGCCCCTTTATTTGTATTTTTTGAAGGTATATTTGTTTTTGCATACAAGAACTGGAGTACAGCTCAGAGGTGCAGGGGGTGGGAGGATTCATCAGAGACGGGAGCAGAACAGGCGGATTAACTAAAATACGCTGCTGAGGGGAGCAGTGGGGAGGCAGGAGAGGTCTGCTGTGCCCTGGCCGGGGATCGAACTTGTGCTGTAGTGGCTGCAGATCACTTCATAGCGCTGCCCTGCAGTACCAAGGAGGGCCCTCCACTTCTTTTAAACTTCTGATAGTGTCTTTGGCAGTTTCCAAGCACTCTGTTTAACAAAGAACATTAAAAGTGGGGATTGGCATATACTTTCTAATGTGAAGTAGAATTATTAACTCACTTTATGCACCTGTTCCTTCTTCATCAGCATGAAATTTTGTATGATTGGATCAACCCTACTTACCTGAACATGGATTACCAAGTCCAGATTCAAGAAGAATTTGAAGAAAGATCTGAAATTCTCCTAAAGGACTTCCTTAAGGTAGGCCAGCGTGACTGATTCTGTATATCTTGTTTGATGTGTAGTTTTGATTCACAGGTGAGTAGACAGACATTTCTAAGAGAATTTTTGTTTCGCTCCTGGTTAAAATGTTTGTTATCCTCTTTGTCGAATAAAATATAGAGGTGATAATAGCCCTGGAATCATCATACACCTCGTGGATTCAGAATTCCCTGGGGATTTCCCAGTTCTCTAGAAGCTCCACTATATACACGTGAGAGGAAACTGGATGTAGTTTCCGTCCTATTCACTTGATGACTATCGTGCTCACTATTATTTTTAGTACTAAATAGTTAATACTCGATCAACACCTGGAAGCGCTATTTGGCGCAAGGAGACAGCCGTGGTGGACAGATGTCCCAGTGGGAAGATAACAAGATCAGAACAAGATCAGAAAACCTGTCTTCATGTCCTGGCTCTGTCCTTAACTAACCTGAGCAAATCACTAATGAGTTTTTACTTCACTGTCCGTTCAGTTGGGATAGCACCTGCCTTGACTCTCCGGAAGCATCTTGTGAGGGCCAGATGAGCTCACATATGCTGTAGTGAGGCCCCGTACCAGTCTGCAGCTGTCCCTCCACGGTGACAGATTGAGAGAGACGACATACTGTCTGGCTTCTCTCTGTCCGATAGCTGACATGAGCATATTGAAGAATTTGACAATTACTTGTTTAACCCCGTGTCATTCATTTACTTAGGCCATGCTTTGGAATCTTCATACTTATTTACAGGAGATCCAACTGATGTTTTCAGAACACTCCTTGAGAAATTGCATCAAGTAACTACAAACCCTCTGGTGAAGAGTATTTCAGTAGATTCACCAGCTTGTACTGAATTTGACTTTAAATTCGGAAAGCCAGCGAAAGGGAATGAGCTCAGACCCAGCATTCTTGTTGCAGATGCCCGTTGTAATGACTCTGAAGGATGCAATTTTTTCCCCTCACATTTATAAGTCTGTATGGTAATTTTGAGAACGTTGCTAATTGAGGGGCTTAGCAAGCTGACAGGAAATATCCAGAATGACCCAAAGTAATACGTGGGTACCTTGGCTAGAGCGTGCTGGCACTGTGCAGTCTTGGTCCTGACCTACCGTGTCGGGACTGGGACATCTGTGTCAAAGGCTGAGAATCCAGTGGCCCTTTCAGGGACCAGCCAGCGTGATTCGGTAGAGCTGCTACATCTCTGAGGCCCGGGTGGGACCGTAGGAGGTTTGCTGACTTCTTTGCTTGCTTCTTTTGCAGCCTGAGAAATTTGCAAAGGTCTGTGAGGCTCTGGAGCACGGAGATGTGGAATGGCACAGCCGAGGTCCCCCGAACAAAAGGTAGAACCCGCCGTCCGAGACACTTGCACCTGCCTGTCAGCCTCCTGGCTCCCCTTCACTAGAAGGGGATTCGGTCAACTGGCGCGCCTCCCAGGGACCCCCAGAGCAGCCTACCCAAACCGCTCCCCCAACCTGTCTAACAGCCGGGGAGATCAGCTTTCATTCCACCAGCGGTGTCACCAGTGGACATTGTTCCTTTTTAGGTTTTATGAGAAAGCTGAGGAGAGCCAGCTTCCTGAAGTACTGAAGGAGTGCATGGGATTGTTTCGCTCGGAAGCACTGTTCTTGCTGCTTTCCAACTTCACAGGCCTGAAGCTGCACTTCTTGGCTCCTTCAGAAGATGACGAGATCGAGGACAAAAAAGAAGGAGAAGCAGCTTCTGCTGCTGATGGCACTGAAGAAGGAACCAGCCACAGCTCCCCCCAGTCCGCGGCCGGCCGGGCCGCCGTCAGCCGTGACAAGCAGACCCACACAGAGCCAGAGGAAAAGGAAGCAAAGGAAGGTGGGCTGTGTCGTGACTTGTTGCCATTAAACATTCGCTGTTCAGGCGTTGATCCCTTCAGTTCTATTTCTCCAGCGGAATTTAAGTGACATCCGGGGTCACTTTCCAGGATACATTAGATGTTAGACCACAAATTAAGTCTCGGCAGATTTTTTTTTTTAAAGCAGAGGTTTTTTTTTTTTTAAGGTTTATTTATTTGTGCTTACAGCACTGGGGTACAGGCCAGAGGTGCAGGGATCGTGAGAGGCTTCACGAGTGGGGAGCAGAACAGGCCGATTGACGAAATACACTGCCGAGGGGAGCAGTGGGTGGGTCAGGAGAGGTCTGCCGCGCCATGTGGGTCAGCTCCCTGGCCGGGGATTGAACCCGTGCTGCAGGGGCTGCCATAGCCTCACAGTGCCGCGCTTTAACCTGCTGGGCCACTGGCAGGGCCTCCTTGTGGTTTTCACTTGTATTTCCCTGAAGAAAAGACATATAGAACATCTTGTCACGTGGCTCTGGGCCTTCTGTGGATCGTTGGTGAAATGCCTATTTAATATCTTCTGCACTATTTTTTTTTTTTTTAAAGATTTATTTATTTGTGCATACAGAACTGGGGTACAGGCCAGAGGCTCAGGGGCGGCGAGAGGCTTCACCAGAGACAGAGTGGGGAACAGAACAGGCAGATCAGTGAAGTACACTGCTGAGGGGAGCAGCGGGCAGGTCAGGAGAGGTCTGCCGCGCCATGTGGTCACTCACCTCCGGGGCAGGCGGGAATCGAACTCATGCGGAAGTGGTTTTAGCTTCTCAGTGCTGTGCTCCAACCCACTGCGCCACCAGGGAGGGCCTGCACTTTTTTTTTTTTTTTTTTAAATCAAATTATGTCTTTTACTGTTGAGTTGATTGAACATTTATAGATTAACCCCTTGTTTAACATACGACTTTCAGCTACCTTCTCCTGCTCACCTTCCTTTTCAATTTCAGGCTGGTGCCTTTTGCTGGGCAGCTTTTTAGTTTGCTGTAGTCCCATTGGTTTGTATTACTGTCTCTCTGCTGTTACAAACGAGTCCACAAAGACATCGCTAGGCTCAATCAGTGTCCATGAATGCCCCGTCTGTGTTTTCTTCCGTGCATTTTACTGTTTTCAGGTCTTACGTTCAAGCCTTTAGTAGTGTCGGCTGTAAGACGGTAACCTACTGTCAATCTCTTGCATGTGGCTCAGGCCTGATATAAGACTGTTAGGTGGAACAGTGGTTCAGCGGAAGGCCCGCGGGATGGTTTCTCTTCCATGCTATGTCATTCCTCATGATCACTCCTTTGCAATAGAGTAGAGGCCTTAAGGAGCTTCTAAACTTTTCAAGCATCCTCTCCCTTTTCCCTTAGAGACCAGTGTTCCCACCTGCCAGGGGGAGCTGAGGCATTGGAAGACTGGTCACTACACCTTAATTCATGACAACAGCAAGACCGAATTTGCCCTAGACCTCATGCTCTACTGTGGCTGTGAAGGTAAGGAAGGAAGAGAGCAGTGAGTGGGTTCCTAAGAGGCTCACCTCTTCCAAGCGGCCCTCCGGCCTGAGCCCATTCAGAAGCCGTTGCCTTGGCCAGGATCTCAGTTCACAGGCTCTAGCTGTCAGAGGGAATCTTAAGGGTCATGAGTTTTCGTCTCCACGTTCAAAGGTGAATTTCTGTCTGATGTAGGATATAGGAGAAGGACCCAACCCTCACATTCCACTAGTAACTCCCCACCCGCACCTAAGGCTTTTATGTAATTGTCCTTCCAGATAGATTTTACCTTTAATTATTAGTTTTCAGTTTTAGTGTTGATTGAATGGTAAATTCAGGCTCATCAGTACCTGTGAACGCTCAGACCCCCCAGTTTGAAGCATCTGATCACTGACTTCAGCAGATGATCTAACTCTAGTGAGTTTTCTGAGTGCTGTCTGCTTTCCCCTGTAAGGCTGGGAGCCAGAGTATGGCGGCTTTACTTCCTACATTGCCAAAGGTGAAGATGAAGAGGTAAGTTGCTTTTTTATTTCTTGAGGAAGCCATTCTTTAACGACCTGATTTTTATGACCTATTGTCATTGCTTTTAACTACATAAATCCCTGTTGTTCTGCGTGGAAGTTTCTTCCACTTCTAGTAATAGTAGAAAATAATACAGATGTTAAAGGACAGTCACTGAGTATTTATTCTGCCCTACTGAGAAATCCCAAAGAAATTAAGAGCTGCATGGTGACTTGCAACAAATCTTTCAATGTAGTAAGAAATACATGCATTAGACAAAAACTTCAGATATGTGTTGGAATAGGACTTACTGGAACATGTTTAGAGAACCAGAGCAAACATTTTTCTTGGTTAAGGGTCTTTTAGAAGCTCTGCTGTCTGTCCCAGTCCTTTAGAAGTACTTGATATGGAAGTCATCTTTTCAGTAGTAAATCAGTAAGAAGCGTTGAGCATAAATGTCAGTCTGATGTGTCATTCTCCCTATTTCAGCTACTAACAGTGAATCCAGAAAATAATTCTTTGGCACTGGTCTACAGAGACAGAGAGACTCTGAAATTCGTCAAGCACATTAACCACCGAAGCCTGGAACAAAGGAAAACCTTCCCAAATAGAACAGGTTTTTGGGACTTTTCATTTGTCTATTATGAATGACAGGGGTGGACCAAGCTGAAGAAAGGAACTTCTTCAACACTGGAAAGTCTGGACGAGCCAAGCGCAGAGAAAGAGCCGCGAGGGGCCTGTCTGACAGTGTCCCGAGCTGCCTGCTGGCCGTCGGAGACCATGGTGGTCTCCTGCCTACACCTTGAGCTTGGAGCTAGGTACTGACTTGGATTATTATTATTATTATTTTTGCTTTTGCTTTAACTCAGTGCTTCATTTCCCAGAGTGACCTTTTTTTTTTTTTTTTTGGTAGTAAAATATTCACAGCATAAAATTTACCAGTTTAGCCTTTTTAGGTAGACAGTTCAGGAGCAGTAAGGACATTCACCCTGTTGTAGAACCTGCATCACCAGCGTCTCCAGAACTTTCCCCGCGTCCCCAGCTGACACTGTCCCCACTAGGCAGTGACTCCCACTCTCACAACCCACTCTGGCTCCGGAAGTTGGGCAACTGACGTTGTCCTTACATGGAATCACAGTATTTGTCCTTTTGTGGCCGAGTAGTGTATTTCACTTGACATAAAGTGTTCAAGGTCCATCCATGTGTCGTCTCATTTTTCCAGTACGCAAAGGAGCTGATCGCAGTAGTTTAGAGAATGACAGAATCTTCCATCCTGTTCAAGCTCAGCCCGTCACAGTCCCCCGGTGCTTCTGGCTCTGCTGTGCTGTCCCTCCGCCAGGCCAGTGTGGACACAAAGGAGCCTCGAGTGCCCTGGGGAAAGGCCTTACCAGGTGGCCAGGACCTTCGGTGAAGGCAGGCAGCCGCTAGGCCACGAGGAGTCGATGCCAGATGCCACTGCAGGTCCATCCAGAGCGAGGTGTCTGCAAAACTAGATGATTCTATGCCGCATGTAGCTTCCTGTCTCCTAAGTGCTCGAGTCAACTGTAAGACCAGTGGCCGGACCTCCCTGGTGGCCTGCGGGTTAAGTGTCAGCACTTTCACTGCTATAGCCTGAGTTCCATCCCCGGCCAGGGAGGTGACCAGAGGGCGCAGCAGACCTCTCCTGTCTCCCCGCTGCTCCCCTCAGCAGTGGACTTTGTCAGTCTGCCTGTTCTGTTCCCCACTCTGTCCCTGGTGACTCCTCTCACCGTCCCACACCTGTCCTACACCCCAGTTGTACAGAAAAATATAATAATAAAGCTAGTTGCCTTCTTTAAGTGAGCAAGTGCTAAAAAAATGTCCAAATGCCAAGAGGCTGTCCATTTTGTAACACTTTTTTCCCTCTGAGGTGTTCTGGGGCTTCTACCACAACTACCTGTGGGTGTAGGTGTGCAAGGGTGGTTGCAGGTGTCACTGCATCCTTAATTAAAGGTGCTGTTCTCATTTCACTCCAGTTCTGCTTCCCAGTTTCCTAGCAACTATAACGGCTTTTATTTGGGGTTTCACTAATTAGTAGGAAAATCACTGGGCTGCTTTAATCACCTAAAAATTTGAGTACTCTTTTATTTTTCCTAAGACTTACTTATGCATGCACAAGCTAGGGTATAGGCCAGAGATGTGGAGGATGAGAACTCACCAGACTGGGGAGCAGAACAGGTGGACCCGCTAAAACACTGCTGAGGGGAGCAGAGGGTGGGACAGGGGAGGTCTGCTGCGCCCTGTGGGTCGCTCCCTGCCTGCAGTAGCTACGGACAAGCTCATAGTACTGTGCCTTCACCCGCTGTGCCACCAGGAAGGGCCCTGTCAAAGCAATATTTTCAGATATTTGCATTTCAATGAAGAAAATGTTTCACTTTCAGGTTAATGGTTTCGGACTTACTCTGACTTTACATTGCTGTTACTAAAACTTTCAGTTTGTATGTCCATTATAGAGGTGCTTGATTTATCAAACACTGATCTTTAAAGGATGAGATAAAGAGCAATGCCTACAACTGGCTCTAATGTCTTCCCACATCCACATTTTTTAAATTATGTTTTATTTTATTTATGCACATAAGAACTGGGGTACAGGCCAGAGGGCTCACCAAAAACAGAATGGGGAGCCGAATGGGCGGATATACTGAAATCCACTGCGGAGGGGAAGACAATGGGGAGACAGGAGAGACCTGCTGTGCCCTGTGGGTCACCTCCCTGGCCAGGGATCGAACTCATTCAGTAAAGGTGATAGCGCTGAGACTTAACTCCTGGGCCACCAGAGAGGCCCACACGTCCACATTTTACATAGGTACTAATTTGGAGACCACAATTTTTGACTGTGTAGTGACACACAAGTGGGATAACACATACTGTATTAGTAATGATGTAAAATTTCAAAGTTTGCCATTTTTGTTGAGTTCCTGTTTATTAAAAAGTCTGCCTGGCCCTCCCTGGTGGCGCAGCGGGTTAAAGCACAGCACTGAGAAGCTAAAGCCACTTCCGCATGAGTTCGATTCCC